TAAAAACTAGTCCCGCCCTTTGAGAACATACGTCATCACTGTTGACGTATAATATGTTGCCTAGTCTATTCCATCAGGTCGGTCTTTTAATTGTATTGGCTAAAGCATGCACTTCTACATGGTATCGGAGCCAAGAGGTCTCGAGTTCGAGATCCGGCTGGCGCAATTAAATTGCAGCCAACTTTCGGTCCACGTTTAGGCCTGAGGAAGGCACACGTGAGGATGAGTGTTAACGTATAATATGCTGCCTAGTCTCTTCTATCAAATCGGTCTTTTGATTGCATTGGCTAGAGCATGCACTTCTACAATCGCCATCAAAACCGTTGATCCTGTCAAAGGCCGGTGGATGCGGCAATGGCGGCACAAAGGTCGTGCCCTTTGAGAAGGCAGATGGAAAGTTATTATTTATCTATTTTCAATGTTGTTAAATTACTACGGTTGTACTGGTTGTACGGGGTAGCATGACACCGCCGAGTGGCACAAGTTGTTTCCCTCTAAGATGATTTCAGCATCCACATCTTAAACATAGCATGAATAAAGTCTTGGCCGGGTGCATAGCTGATGCAAAGGTCGAGAGGGCGACCCTTTATTTTTTCTTTGAAACGTTTAAGAAAGATATGCCAGTGCATCAAAGCAGATACAAATACTCCCTCCGATACAAATCAATTGACGCAATTTAGTATAACGAATGTACTAAAACTATACTAAAGTTGCCTCAATTACTTTGGGTCAGAGGGAGTACTTGATTTGAGATCCGAGTGTTTACCGAGTGAACTTTAACACCAAGTTTAACATAGTTGCCCATCTAAGTTAATACATACGACAACTGCACTATTAAGAAGGCGCTAAACTTTGTAAATGAAGGGCGAAAAGGGTAAAGAGTGCAATCCCTTTCGATCTCTGTCGGTGAGGAATCCTGGTATATGGGTTCTGACGTGTAGATATGGCAGGGTTAGGTCCTCGGGTGCTAGAGCTTCGTTGTTGAGATGGTATCTCGGGCTCTGATCCACCTGGAGTTTCTCCGCCGGGACATAGTGGAGGTCAGGGTAGCTTTCTATCATCCCCTTAGGGCGGCAAGGTTAGGGTTTCCTGCCTTGCGTGCACAATGGCGAGATCTAGTGTCATGTGTCGCTCAAAGGTGTTGTGAACCGGATCGATTCATGGGTTTGGGGGCAGCGAATGCGGCTTCAATGCGCCGGTCCTTAGAGGCACGTGCTCGAAAACTTTTGGATATCATCAACAAAGTCAGGCCGACTCCGGTATGGGAGTGACAAAATCGGTACGGTGGTAATGATTGTTTGATGATACAGGAACCCCGATGCATCTTTTGTGTTTGCATATGATCATTTGTACTATTGGCGAACCTTAATAACAGATCTAGAGCTTTACGCCAGAGAGAGGGGACATTTTTTCCCGAATCTATGCCGAGGCAGGGAGTCTAAACCGCTGAAATGAGTGTACCAAAAAATGCGTTAGTTTTGTAAAAAAAAGTACCTTATGCTTGCAAGAATAAGTTGCATCTCGTTTTCAAGAGAGTATCAAACGGTTTACAAAAAATAAAAGAGAGGAGAGTATCAAGCAACAACTGCATGCAGTATTGTATCGGGGAGACTAGAGATAAAGAGCAAAGAATGCATGACACTCTTCATGTATTCATATTTTAAGCCAATAAAATTCACCCTTTGTCTAGAACACATCATCACCATTAAAACCGTCGATCATGTCAAAGGCAATGGTGGCTGTTCAGTGGTTCGAGAACTTCGATGTAATTTTTGTTATGTTTGGAGTGCTTTGTATTATTGGCAAACCTTTATAATAGGTCTAGGATCTTCACGTCCTCGAGAGGACATTTTTTCCGAATCCATGCCGAGGACAAGTAGCAGAGAGTGTAAACCGTTAAAAGAAGTGGACTTCCTCCATTTCTTTTTAGTCTGCATATAAAAATTTGTCCGAAGTCAAACTTCGTAGAGTTTGACCAACTATATAAGGAAAAAAATGACAACATTCACAATTTGAAATCAATATCTTCAGATGCATCATGAAATTAATTTTCACACTATATAACTTTTGTATTGTAAATGTTGCTATTATTTTAGATAAATTTGGTCAAACTTTATGTCGGTTGACTTCAAACAAATTTTATACGCAGAGTAAAAGAAACGGGTGGAGTACACAAAATGTCTTACTTTTTTACTCCCTCTGTTCCTAAATATAAGTATTTTTAGAGAGAGCTTTACGCCAGAGAGAGGGGACATTTTCCCCCGAATCTATGTCGGGGCAGGGAGTCTAAACCGCTGAAATGAGTGTACCAAAAAATGCGTTAGTTTTGTAAAAAAAGTACCTTATGCTTGCAAGAATAGGTTGCATCTCGTTTTCAAGAGAGTATCAAACGGTTTACAAAAAATAAAAGAGAGGAGAGTATCAAGCAACAAATGCGTGCAGTGTTGTATCGGGGAGACTAGAGATAAAGAGCAAAGAATGCATGACACCCTTTATGTATTCATATTTTAAGCCAATAAAATTCACCATTTGTCCAAAACACATCATCACCATTAAAAACGTCGATCATGTCAAAGGCAATGGTGGCTGTTCGGTGGTTCAAGAACTTCCATGTAATCTTTGTTATGTTTGGAGTGCTTTCTATTATTGGCAAACCTTTATAACAGGTCTAGGATCTTCACGTCATCGAGAGGACATTTTTTTCCGAATCCATGCCGAGGACAAATAGCAGAGAGTGTAAACCGTTAAAAGAAGTGTACTTCCTCTATTTCTTTTTAGTCTGCATATAAAAATTTGTCCGAAGTCAAACTTCGTAAAGTTTAACCAACTATATAAGGAAAAAAATGACAACATTCACAGTTTGAAATCAATATCTTCAGATGCATCATGAAATTAATTTTCACACTATATAACTTTTGTATTGTAAATGTTGCTATATTTTTTTAGATAAATTTGTTCAAACTTTATGTCGGTGACTTCAAACAAATTTTACACGCAGAGTAAAAAGAAACGGATGGAGTACACACAATGACTTACTTTTTTACTCCCTCCGTTCCTAAATATAAGTATTTTTAGAGATTTAAATAAGGACTACATATGGATGTATATAGACATATTTTAGAGTGTAGATTCACTCATTTTGCTCCATACGTAATCCGCATTGAAATCTCTAAAATGATTTATATTTAGAAAATATATCAATATCCACAATATGAAATTTATATCATTTTTTTGCGAAAAAAACTTTCAATCTATTCATCTTCAATCATGGTAGTACAACGAACACTAGAAATGATAAAAATTATATCAAGATCCGTAGAACACCTAACGACGATTACAAGCACTGAAGCGAGCCGAAGGCGCGCCGCTGTCAACGCCCCTCCCTCGCCGGAGCCGGGCAAACGTTGTTGTAGTAGACAGTTGGGAAGTCGTCGTGATAAGGCCCCATAAGACCCATAAAAAGTATTTTTATATGTTATCCGTTAGGTATTGCAGATGTTGTTATTTTATTTTATAATCCTGGCCAAACGTTCAAATGGTTGGCTTGCACGGAAATCAATACACCTTCATATTCTGGAACAAAGGGAGTATATTATAAGGAAACAGAAATACCTTACGCTTGGATGACCAAGTTTTTGCATCGCGTTTGCAGGGGAGCTACGAGCAACGAATGTAGGCAGGTATGGCGTAGTTGGTGACCGGCCGTATTGTATCGGGGAGAGTGGAGACAGCCATACAGGTGTCCCATTAGACTATCACCCACGCCTAGGAATCCCCTGCGCCCGCAGGTAGTTCACGTGACGATTTACCGTTTCAGCGCGGGGAGCGGGGGTCACAGATTTGTCTCGCTCGCTCGCACACGTTTACACGTCGGAGATCTTTTTCCTGCTTGGCTGGGGCTGGGGCTGGGGCTGGGGCTGGTTCGGTGTCCGTGTCGCTGACCGGCCGCGCTTTGCTGGCTGCGGGCGTAATAATTGAGGGGTAAACTACACTTCCATCACCGCAAATCCGCTCCCCTTTAAATAGACTAGTCGCACATCCTCTACCTCATCTCCCTCCCCCTCCTCCCCCCTTCCCCCCCTCTCTCTCACCTGCTTAGCTAGCTCCTCCGGCCCAACGGAAGCTAGCGATCGCCATAGCCTCCGCGACTGCCAGCACCCCCACTCGAACAGTTGAGTCCTTCTTCTTCTTCTTCTTCTTCTTCTTCTTCTTCCTGTACCTGCAGTTTGTATCAAGAAGCTTTCGCCGTCGAGATTAGGTGGAGAAGCTCGCGCTTACTCGCCGGACGGACGTCTCAGTTTGTTTCCGCGATCCTTCAAGGGCTCCCGTCCTACTGTACCCTTTTAATACTGGCGCGGCTGAGGCTAAATATCAGATCGGGTGATGCATTGCCCGCCTACGTACTAGCACCGTGGTGGTTTTCCGACGCCGACCCACAGAATAATTCTAGCAGTACCACTGCCTTTTCATTCACACAAGCCAAGCGAGGCGCCAAAAGCACGCCAATTGGGCCGCGCATTACGCCAAGTTGCACGCCCTTGTTCTGACGTCGATTGGCCCCCTTACGTGCTACGACCCCAGCTCGTTGCCGAGGGGATAAGTGTTTGCTTGCTTGCTCCCCTTCGTCCCTCCCACTGTTCGCTTACCACTTTGGTTCGGCCGTGGTGCGTGCAGAGAAGAAGCAGCAGCAGCAGAAGCAGAATTATCAGAGGCGCAAAGGCTTGCGTGCGGTCTGAAGGAACCCCGAAAAGGCCGAGAAGAAAACAAGATAAAAGGTGCGATCTCTTTTTATATACAACCTTTGCTCGGTCGAATCCTCTCCAATCGCATCGCTCGTTTATTGCAAGCCAAGAATTTCATTTCTTTTCCCTTTTCCCCTCCTGCCGGGAAAATTCGGTAGCAAAGTTGCTTCGATTTGCCTTTCGGATCGCCTCCTCGACCTCTTGTGATGATGGTGTCGTGATTCTTGCAGGTGGTAGAGTGGACTTGTCGACGCGTCCATGGGTTGCGGCTTGTCGACGCCGGACAGCGATGGCGGCGGCGGCGGCGCGCGGAGGAAACAGGGCAGCGTCGGCGACGTCGTCGTCTTCCTCCCGGGGCTCCGGGCGCCCATGGGCGTGGACTTGTCCCAGGCGCTCGCGGGGCGCCTGGACAAGGGCGCCGTGGAGAGGCTGTCGGCCCTGAGAGCGCGCGTCGTCGACATGGCAATGCAAGAATCGGCGGTGGCGCTCAAGCCCAGGCGGAAGGCCGCCGCACGGCACGGTGCGTGGAGTGTCTGACTGAATTCTTTGGTGGTCTTTGCCCTGAATTGCTGGCTGGTTTTGCGTGGCAGATGTTGACCTCTGAACTGACACTGGGGTTGGAATTTTCTCTCTCTCTTGCTGCTTTGTGCAGGATCTAGCACTGCTAACCTCCTGCAGGCGCTGGAGGACTACTTGCCACTTCTGCTAGGATTGGTGAAAGAAGGTGAGTGGCTGCTGAAATTTCGATCTTCTTCTTTTCATTGATTTTTCTCATTTCATTGATTGATGCTGTGAAATGTTGCAGGTAGTGAGTTGAGGCACAGCGTGCAGTTTGTGTGGACTAACCAAGAGGACAAGGCCGAGGTATGTGCCTGTCAGTGCTAACTGAATCGTGCCTGGTTTTCACCAAAATTTACCTTTCAGAGTTTCAGTGCTTATATAGCTCTTAACATGGATGGGATTTTCGGTTGCAGGAGACGGCCATGGCGGATGCATGGTACGAGGTGCTGTCCGTGCTGCATTTGATGGCCATGGTCTGCTTGCTGCAGGCCAACTCCCTGCTCCTGCCAAGGGCTTACGGCGATGGTTACGGGCCACGGGTCTCTGAAGGTAGCGTCGCTGTAAACTGAACTGCATCTGAAGTCATCGCCCAGCAAGTTTATGCATTGAGAATTGGAGAATGTTCATCGCCTGAAGTTCATTTAAGTTTTTCTGTCCATGATACCGATAACTGATGAGGCATCGTTTCTTGATAATGTATACAGAGAGCAGACGTGCCACCGTCGACGTTTTCTTGAAAGCATCTGGCTACTTGGACTGCGCGATTCGACAAGTGCTCCCACAGATACCATCAGAACTAAGGTTTGTACCCTTAAGCAGTTCATCAGATAACTGGTTATTTTCCACATTTTGAAAATGTAATTTTAAGATTTTGAAGTTGGAAACTTCTACTGAAACTCCTTTCCTATGGATGAATTTCAGGAGACAACTTCCAGTAGACCTGGCTGAAGGAAATCTCAAAGCTCTTAGCCTGCAAGCTCTGGGTCAGGTACTGTGTTCTGAACTCTAACATATTTTACCTGAATTTTGGTGGCCAACTCCCAAACATCCTACAACAATTCAAATGAGCTGCTGCGAAGAAGATCACCGATTTCTAGTTTGAGGAAGTTTGAAATGGTCCAATTGGACCGCCTAGACCTAGAGTGTGGTGTGTGCTCTATCACCCCTGAAGCAACATTTATATGCTTTGAACTTTTTTATAGCACCTGGTACTTTATTTCCAGTTATTTTGATGAATTGTGAAATGAAACCTAGTACCATTCCTAAATTAACTTCAGATACAGTAGTCATAACCTAGTACCCTTTTTCTCAGAAGAGTCATATTCCAACCTGTCTGTCCCATTTGATATTGTTTCATGGTGAATTGGTCATTAAACATTGGCAACCTTCATCTCCTACAGGGTGTTGACATGCAGCTTGGGCTGGCAATCGATAGCCCAAAGGCCACACAAGCTGTAAAAAGGCGCTTAGCTTGTGAGATGGTCAAATATTGGCATCAGGTTCAGGAGAGCATTCCAGATCTTCCTGTGTCTGACGGATGGGGAAAAAAGCATCTACTATTTGTCAAGTGGAAGTATGTCGAAGCAAAGGTGCGTGAAGTTAGTCAACCATCATAATACCTCCAATGTTAACCGTCTAATTTTCAAATCACAAATGTTCGTGCCGAGTTCAAATAGCTTCAGATGTCCTATGTTTCGCCTGCAATAGGGTACTAGTCTTACAACCATCTAAACTGATGTCACTGTATGTGCTCTTATCAGTCTGCAGCATACTACTTCCATGGTTTGATTCTTGACGAAGGAAACAGCGAGAAATCTCATGGAATGGCAATAGCAGCATTGGAAGCTTCGGAGGAATTTCTGAAAGAAAGCAAAAGGGCCTCTGAAGCCTTCCATGCAACTCCTCCAACATCTAGGTAAGACATTCGCTTCTAGTTTGCTACTTGGCGCACGCCAAGTGTAGTTTCTTAATATTTTCAAATTTTTTTACCCTTGGTATGCGAAAGAAGAATGCAAAATGAAGACAGTACCTGTAACTTTGCAGGAGCCCCACTCCATTTGGAACAGCCAAGTATCTGTTTGACAAGATCCCGAAAGAGGCTTCAAGCAAGGTCCGGATCAACCAGGACCTGTATACTCCAGAAAGGTAATGAACTAATGATTAGCGGCAAAATAAGCTCACGCCAAAATTGCTCAAATTGTGAATCTGAAGGACTGACGGGTCATCTGTTTCGCGCACCTGCTTGCAGGGTCATTGGAGCACCACCCCCGTTGCCGGATTTCTCATTGGCACTAACACCTGAAGACTATGATCTTCCTCCATTAGACCCACTTTGGAACAAAGAAGATGGTCACCAGTAGTGTATATTCAGCCTTCAGCAAGAGTGTCTTCTGATGGGAAGGCTCTGGCACTACTGAGAAAGCAACGACCAGGATTCTGCCATGCGGAGGCCGAACACGGTGCAAAGGAAGTGTACAAAGATATGTTCCGACCGAAAATTTGACGTCGGCAAATTGGAAGCAAATTTTACAAAGGCCTGAAGATATCTGAAGAGCATTTTTACAGTTAAATCTTCTCTGACAATGGAAACACATTGTCAAAAGCTTTCCAACAATTCCTGTAAAAATTATATTTCCAATGAGCGTCATGGTTCCTTTTTCTTAGGATTTTCTGACCATGGCTTAGTTTTGTGGCCATTCTGAGCCTATTAATGTGGTAAATTTACCAAACATGATCCTGATTTTCATTCAATGCTTGAGACAGAAGCAGCCAGGACAAAATTTAAACTACTTCCAACACATACAGAAGCTCTGAACTGTTTCAGTTTTGAGACAGCAACCAAGGGGGTAACGGCCCATATATATTTTATCATTAGTCTACTCAACTAACTGACTGGGAACGGTTTTCTTTCCCCTAAGGCGGCGACTTTAGGGTTTCTCCGTATTCCGGCGATGATCGCCGGAATTGTATAGTCCCTGGTTGATTCTCTCGCCCGATCTACCCGTCAGAACTCGGTCCGATCAAGGGGGATCCTTTGTGATCTTGCCCGGCCTTGGTTTTTGATAGGTTTTCTCAAGGAGAGAGCTAGGGTTTTTTCACGAGATCGTTGGTTGTGACCAAACTAGAAGAGGATGGCGGCGGAGTCGAGTACGCAGAGACGGCAGGGAAAGGAGTCGCCGGAAGAGCTACTGGCCAGACTTAACCTGCAAGAAGAGGAAGATGATGATTTCGTCTGGGAGGAGGAGTTGCCAGATCTGGGAGCTCCAGCAAAGTGGCTGGCCATTGCAAGGGTACACACCCCGAAGAAGTTCAGCCCTAATGCTCTATATGGGGACATGTGGGCGGCATGGAATCCGGCAAAAACTGTTGCGTGGAGGAAGATCAAAGACAACCTTTTTACTACTCAATTTGGATGTTTGGGGGATTGGAACAAAGCTATGATGGAGGGCCCATGGTTGTTTAGAGATCAGGCTGTGATCATGGAAGAATATGATGGTTTCAAAAACCCTGAGAGTTTTAAGCTGGATAAGCTGGCAGTATGGGCACAGATCCATCGCCTTCCTGACAACTTTTTGATTGAGCCGGCGGTCAGAGGTTCGGCATCTCGTATTGGGGAAGTAGAGGACGTCCAATTGAAACTCCCAGCAGGTTTCTTTGGTGAGTTTGTAAGAGTACGGGTGAAGATTGATGTACATGCCAAGATCAAGAGATTTGTGACTGGAAAGAAGGGAGAAGAGAGGGTTAGATACCAAGTAAAATATGAGAAGCTCCCAGTTTTCTGTTTCCACTGTGGTGAATTCGGTCATTGGCATGAGGAGTGTGGTGATGGAGTTCATGATGAGTCTAAGTTTGAATGGGGAGACTTTGTTCTTGCAGATAATGTGCGCTTCCGACAAGCAGGGAGGGGTAGCTATGGTCCTCAAAGGGGCCGGGGTGTACCAAGGAATGCAGGCGGTAGAGGGAGAGGGAGGGAACCCTACAATCCCAATCAACCATGGCGTTTCAACGCACAACCCACTGAGAACTAGAAGCAGCAGCCGGAAGAGCAGAATCAGCAAACCAACTCGTTGTCAGATGATGGTGTGACAGGACCAAGGGAGCCAAATGCAGCTGCAATGCTTGATATTATGGCCTCGGGATCCTTGGAGGGGAACACCATCTCCTCAAATAAAAGGCAATCTGCAGATAATAATACACTCCCTGGAGGTTTGTCCTCTAGTTCAGGAGGATCAGATATGGTGGATCGGGGCTCTACAGCACTTATTATAAGGGAGAAACCTACGGGGGTTCCACCACTCCCGCCGGTCTATGTATCCCCAAGGAAGGAAGTAAAAAGGCCAAAAAAGGGAGATGGCAAGAGGAATATCCTGTTCTCTGACGAACAGGCTGCTGAACGGAAAGAGGACAAGGAAGCAAATGGTGGGGAAAAAACTGATAAGGAAATTGCTGGATCGGCGGGCTCCCTCGAGGAGTGCCGCCGGGCACAATGAGTTTGCTATGCTGGAACTGTCGTGGTGTGGGTAATCCTGCGACAGTTCATGAACTTCGCGAGCTTGCGAAGATATTTACCCCGACCGTATTATGTATTGTTGAAACTCAAATTGATAAAATACGGGTCGAGAAACTGAAGGGTGAACTAGGTTATGATAGCAGCTACGCTGTGAGTAGTGAGGGGAGAAGTGGAGGACTAGGTCTTTTCTGGAATGATAAAATAAAGCTGAAAGTTTCTGGTTATTCTAAGTACCATATTGATGCTATGATTGATAATCTAGGCCCTAGTGCCTGGAGACTTACTTGTGTTTATGGTGAAGCTCAGGTACCCGAGAGGTACAAAACATGGGACACACTCCGTGATCTTGCTGGGAGTATCCAGTCCCCATGGGTGGTTATGGGAGACTTTAATGAAGTTTTGCATTTGAGAGAGCATGATGGAGTGGGGCAGAGGAGCCAAGGACAGATTGATGCGTTCAGGAGTGTAGTAAATGATTGCGCCCTGGTCGATTTGGGCTATTCTGGTCCGGGCTGGACTTTCGAAAAGAAGGTAGCGGGAGGGTCTTACACGCGAGTGCGTCTGGATAGATTTCTCGCTTGCTCTACATGGGCGTCGTTGTTTCCTCAGGCGACAGTAAGACACCTGACAGCAGCGACATCTGATCATCTCCCAATCATGATGGATCTGCAGGTAATTAACGAATCAAGGGCGACACGCTGCTTCCGGTATGAATCAATGTGGGAGTCAGAGCCATCTTTGTATGCGAAAGTGGCAGAGGAATGGACCCGGGGGGGATCAAGCACAGTGGCGGATATAGCAGAGAATCTGAAAAATCTGTCAGCCTCTCTTTCATTATGGGACAGGAAAACTTTTGGGAATGTTAAACGGAGTATCAAGCAACTTAAAAGGGAACTTGAGATTCTGCGGGATGTACCTGGGCGTGTGGGTCCTTCACCCAGAGAGCTTGAGATAAAAGCAGTACTAGTGGAATTATATAAGCGGGAAGAGTTAATGTGGAAGCAAAGGGCACGAGTGGAATGGCTTCGTGCGGGAGACAAAAATACTCGATATTTCCAGCTTCGAGCAAATATGCGCAGAGCGAAGAACATGATCAAAAGTCTGATGAAGGAGAATGGGTCTTTAACAGAGGATACGGAGGAGATGAAGGACATGACAAATTCCTTCTATAACAACCTGTACATGTCAGAGGGGACTAATAACATGGAGAATGTGTTGGATACAGTAACATGCAAAGTCACACCACAAATGAACTGCATGCTTAATGCAGCGTACACAGCTACAGAGGTAAAAACGGCTTTGTTTCAAATGTCTCCTTTGAAGGCCCCGGGGCCTGATGGCTTTCCGGCCCAATTCTTCCAAAAGCATTGGGATATATGTGGTGATGCAGTAGTAAAGGTGGTGCTGAATATTGTTGAAGGTAGAGAAAGTGCTCATGAGTTGAACAATACGGTTTTGGTCTTAATTCCTAAGGTTAAAAATCCAAAATTATTATCTCAATTCCGCCCTATAAGTCTCTGCAATGTTTTATATAAAATTGCTTCAAAGGTCATAGCTAACCGTTTGAAAAGCATTCTTCCAGAGATCATTTCTGAGGAGCAGTCTGCCTTTGTTCCTGGTCGATTAATAACAGATAACATTATTGCTGCATATGAGTGTCTGCACTTTATGAAGAGGAACAAAGCCAAGAAACACAGACATTGTGCACTAAAGTTGGATATGATGAAGGCTTATGACAGAGTTGAATGGAGCTATCTGAGAGCTATCATGTTGAAGTTGGGATTCCAGGAGAGATGGGTAAATATTGTCATGAACATGGTAACATCAGTTTCTTTCTCAGTAAACTTCAATGGACAACGGCTTGAGAGGTTTAATCCAACACGAGGGATCCGTCAGGGGGATCCTATTTCACCCTATCTGTTTTTGCTGGCAGCAGAGGGCCTTTCGTGCCTCTTGAAATCCAGAGTTCAGTCATCTAGCCTTGGAGGCATACAGGTGGCCACATCGGCTCCGCCGGTGAACCATTTGTTGTTTGCTGATGACAGCCTGCTGTTTTTTAAAGCGTCAACGGAAGGGGCTGAGGAAGTTTCCCACTTGTTGGAAATTTATGCAAGTGCTTCAGGTCAAAGGATCAACAAAGATAAATCCTCAATTTTCTTTAGCAAGGGTTGTCCAGAAAGTGTGCGTGCTTCTGTTAAGGATGTTCTTAGTGTACCTAATGAGCAATTAAATGAGAAATACTTGGGTATGCCATCAGATATAGGAACATCGAAAAACGGTGCTTTCAAGTACCTAAAGGACCGGCTATGGGCAAAAATACAAGGGTGGATGGAGAAAATTTTATCTGCAGCAGGTAAAGAGGTTTTAATCAAATCCATTGCCCAAGCAATCCCTGTTTACTCAATGGCATGTTTTAAACTACCAAGGGGGTTGTGTGAGAGCTTAACTTCAATGATCAAGGCCTTTTGGTGGGGGAGCAAGAGTGGGAAGAGGAAACCCTATTGGGTATCTTGGGACACTATGTGCATGCCCAAATACATGGGAGGTTTGGGATTCAGAGATTTTGAGATCTTCAACTTGGCTCTCCTGGCGCGGCAGGCGTGGAGGATTCTGGAGCAACCGGAGTCTCTGAGTGCGAGAATTTTGAAGGGAGTTTATTACCCAAACTCAGATTTTCTCAATGCTGAGTTGGGGAACCACCCCTCACAAATCTGGAGATCAGTTTTTGAGGGCCGAGATTTTCTGAAACAAGGTTTGATCAGAAGGATTGGCAATGGAAGCACCACCAGCATTTGGGAGATGAATTGGATCCCTCGGCCAGAAAATATGCGCCCTATTACTACCCTTATTCAGAGTCCCCCACAGATGGTGGCTGAGTTACTGGATCCTTTGAATGCGTGTTGGGATGTGCAAAAGATTCAACAAGTTTTTTTGCCAAGTGACGCCACAGCCATTCTTCAGATTCCAGTGTGCACACGGAACATGTATGATTTCTGGTCTTGGGGTTTTGAGAAGAACAGTCGGTTCACGGTGAGGTCGGCGTATAAGATGATTGTTGCTACAAAAAAACGGCGAGAGGATTGGCTGGAGGAGCGATCTGGTCCATCGAACACAAGTCAGATTGAGAAGTCTTGGGAGACAATCTGGCATGTTGCTGTACCAGCCAAAATCAGGAACTTCTTATGGAGACTAGCACACAACTCAATCCCCACAGAAGATGTCAGAAACAAAAGAAACATGGCGACACACGATAGATGTAGTGTATGTGGAATGGCAGACTCGTGGAAGCACAGCTTGATTGAATGCAGCATGGCGAGATGTGTATGGGCCTTGGTAGATCCGGAACTGCGTGAGCATATGATCGAAACAACGGAACCAACAGCACGCTCTTGGTTGTTTTCGATGATGGAAGTGCTAAGTCATGATGAGATGACACGGATGGGTGTTACACTTTGGGCAATCTGGTATGCGCGAAGGAAATTCATACATGAGGGACTACACCAAAGCCCACTGTCAACACACCTCTTTATCACGAATTTTATAGCTGAACTTGATCAGCTAAAGGAGCCATCAACCTCACATGCGATAATGAGCCCAGGAGAGGTTCGCTCGGCCTGGGTGCCGCCGCAGGAGGGTTTTGTTAAAATAAATGCCGATGGGGGTATTTCCTTAGATCACAATGTGGGCACTGCTGCTGCTATTTGCCGTGATCGGGAAGGCAATTATTTGGGATCCTCTATTCTGGTTGTGCAAGGAGCCACGGATCCATCTACAGTCGAAGCTTTGGCGTGTCGAGAAGCTCAAGCATTGGCAAGGGATTTGAGTTTGCAAAGTATTCAGGTGGCGTCAGATTGTAAACAAGTCATCTTACACATCAAGCAAGGAGTTGGAGGCAATTATGCAAGCATAATTAGAGAGGTGACAGAAACTACTAGTTCTTTCATGGCTTGTAATTTTGTTTTTGAACCAAGAACTTCAAATTTTGAAGCTCATAGGTTAGCTAGGTATGGTGTTTCCCTTCCCCTGGGGAGACATATATGGTTAGGGCATCCCCATGATGCTAATATTATCCCTGTAAACATTCTAACCATGCAATAAAGCCTAGTTATCCCTCCAAAAAAAAAAAAAACTGACTGGGAACACATTACAAGCCCTGAAAAAACAATACCTCATAGCTATCAGCTATAAGATCCATCACATATAGTATGTGCTTGGAGTTATAAATATTTAAAACTTGGGTGATCAACTTGCATGTACAATACAATGGATTAACAAAGCTATCCAAATCGACCGGCCATCTTCCAAATTCTGTACTACCATAAACACTTCATGACATATTTTATGAGGATCATCGAGCAAAGTACACTCAAACAACAGGCTGCGTTGCGAACTATCGAAGGCCCTTTTATTTGCTCACTGCTGCCAAAATTAACCTTTCACCATTCTCCTTAGCCACTAACATTTTCCATATAAAAATACTTAATATCTCTTCAACACGAGCAACAAAACCAATAGCGGACCTTCAATTCTGTTTGTTATAAACATTTACATTAGTAACCAAAATTCTATCCTGGAGCACGCAACTCCAACGAAGTCTGGATGAGATGAACAAGGCACCACGTAGTTACCTCTTCTCTGGTTGTTCAGCAGATGCATATAATCAAGGTGTTTGAATTTCATAAATGGCTTCTCTGCGTTCCATCTACAAGAGCTGATCTACCGCTAAATAGTAGGACCCAACAAGTACAAAAGATGCGATTCCACTGCGTGCCATCCGTAGCCCAATGCCACGAAATAGAACATTCCTGTCAGCAGGTGACGTTCCTGTCATTCTCTCTATCCACATTCCTGGTGCTCTCCATTTAAGAAACCTCCTCTCCATTGCTATATACTGAAAAACAGTTGCAAGAACAAATAATGTGCATTTGCAAACAGGGTAGAATGTGGTTCCAAGTTTGAAAGCAGTCAAGTATAAACTTACCTTAGGTATCACAGTGCACTGTGAACGACTTTTGGCAGTATCAAACGTATGTGAAGCAGCAGCTGCTACAACTCCAGAGAAGCCTGCAGCAAGACTAGAAGCTAAAGGGGGTACAGGACCTGCTTCTTCTAAATTCCTGAGATGAGCAAAGGGTTAGAATAGACCAATACTAACGAAAATCAATCATGACACTGTCCCTATCTTTACTTTGCAAATCAAATATACTAATATGACTCCATTACCTGGGTTCAGGGTTCATGTTAACAGACTGCCAAGTAAGCATCGCCGTATGTATGAATTGCCAACAAGAAAAGAACATTCCACTAAAGACACAGTCTCGGGCTACCCCTGGCCTAAGTCCTCTCCATAAAGCACCCCATCCTTCAAGTGCTATCACTCTCGAAGGCACCTGAACATCAGAGGGTAACGGGGGCTTCCCAGAGCCAGTCAGCATCCATGGGTGCTGTTTCAGGGCACCCATCATGTCAGGATGCTTGGGGGAAAGATTGGACAACAGACTAACACTGCTATTCCATACTCTCATGTCAGGGACATGGCCAGGTAATAGCTTGGAAAGCAGTGGAAACGACTCCTGTATAACATTAGCAGGGTTCGTAGCTTTCATAGGTATGGCAGAACCAACTTGGGACCGAAGTTTGAGAAGTTCAAATGGTGTGCACACAAATGCCTCTACAGCACCAGCGGTTATGCCAGCCAACATTGCCTCAGAATAATTAACATGGTTGTCCTCCCTGCCATCTGCCAAGAGACAAACAAATCATATATCATTGCAAAGTTCTATACGTCGACCAGCATATGTCGCTGCAGATTACATTGTTAGTCAGAAGTTTCATGCTTAACTATTGGAAAACAGACAGTCGAATATAGTTTAGAATGTTAAGGCTATAGTTTTGTTGCACATAAGCAAAAGCTCCAATCACAACAGTTCTTCAGAGGTACCAATGTTAAATCATGCAAATTGTTTCTTTTACCTCAAAGGACTTTTGGTCAATCTGCAATTGGAGTATGATAACAGGGAAAACATATAGGAAATGGGAGGATATGCCAGAGAAGTCTAACCGACAACATGTCTAGTTTGCTCATGGGTGCTAAACTGCCAATAGAAGGTGCCAACAAGTTGATATCAAGCAGCCTACACTAAGCAAAGAATTGTGTCGCAAAAAAAAGTATGTACCTTTATTGAAGGCTGTTAAAAGCTCATAGGTCCCAAAACGTGCTCCCAAACCAGGCAGTTTACCTAATATTGACCACCCAATGCCACTGTAAAGACCTGAAATACATACAATTATTTAATAGGATATTTTTTGTGCAGAGCAAAGCAACATATGGGCATCAGAAATATGTTACTTTAGAATGCAGAGCAAAGTAATCCTCTCAACTCCAGTAGTTATTATTATGAGTACAATGATCCCCTTTGATACCATCATACATGAATTAGAAATCTCTAAAGTAAGTCAATCAGGTATGATAACATGAAGCAGGCACGGCAACAGAATGAAGTGAAATGTTTATGCAAGCCCAGGTATTTTATAAAGAAGCAATGAAGCAATTAAAAGCAAGCTTCTAGATCTACGTTTGGACGACAAAAAATTGTACAAGCTGAGTAATTTGACTAAATAATCCAAGCCTTTAGGCTCCTACTGGATATGCTCTTAATGTAGACAGTGCGTAGAACCACTATGGACAGTTGGACACAATCACAGTAAGATCTTATCTAATGTAGATTTATTATCTTTGTCAGGCTCACAAGCTATATGTATCATGATGGACTGTTACTAATAGCTGGATGGCAATCTGAGAAGTCAGACACTACCAGTTCTAGCCTGTCAACTCAACAAGCAACATCGCAATCCTATCAACTCCACTAGTTATTATTATGCATTGGCATCAAAGGGGATCGAAGATTTAATCACTAATCACAGATCACGACAGAACCACCAAACGAAGGAAGATCTCTACTCGTCTAGTAGCAAGCAGGCAAGCAACCAAACACCTGCAGGGCCGGAGACGTGCATGAGCCGGTCCACCGCATGACGGATCCCCATCTTCTGCTTCTGCCCCGCCGCGCTCAACTGCACACGCGGAAACAAATCAGACCCTGACGAGAGAAGAGCAGCACCGCAAATGGGAGAATCTGAGAGAGGGGGGCGCTCGCCTGGAGGAGGCTCTTGACGGTGTCGAGGGGGTGGACGGCGACGGCTGAGGCGCTGATCGCCGCGGCTCCCGCGGCCGCGTGGCCGGCGAACACGTTGTCCCCGAACGGCTTGCCGCCGCCTCCGGCCATCGCGGCGGGCTGGAGGGGGGAATGGCGACGCGGAGGTTTAGGGGAGGCGCCGAGGCGTCGTGTCGTGGGCGACACACACACTGGAACGCCGCTGGCCACTCACGAAGGCCGGCCCGGCCCATGGAACGGAAGCAGACCTGCACACGAATCTTGGCGCGATCGGACGGACGGGAAGCACGGTCAGAGTCGGACTCGGGTCCAAATTGCCTTCCAAAGTGGTGTGCCGCCGGGCGACTTGAGTACTTGACCACGCTCCTGCTCAGGCCGCCGGTCGCTTTTTGCTCTCTCGCTTCGCCGCCGGTCGTCGAGACGAGAGTGGCCGCCGCCTGAATTCTTCCTAGCCGCTCAACCAACCATCGATGGGCCAAGAACAGAGCCAGCCCGACCCGGCGGTGGAGGAGCCTTCTCCGCCGGCCGCCGACCCCGCGCCGGCGCAGTCTCCTGCCCCCGCGCCCTCCTCCCTCGAGGAGCTCGCCGCAGGTACACGCCAAACTCTGAATCTTAGGCGCCGGTGGCGATGTCCACTTATTCTCGTTTTTCCAGCGGACACGCGGCCGTTTCGAGTAGTGGTTCTCTTCAAGTCGCGGCAGCCTATAGGTTATCCGTCGGGTTGCTGGGATTTGGGGAGCATTGGTGGAAGCAGAGCTCTAGGGAAGGATAGTTGCGAGTTTTAGGTGGACGAGATTGTCCCTGTGATTCTCCACTATGTGGTTATTATATGCAGTTCAGACCTTGTACTAGTAGATGGTGAACTTACAAATCGTATAACATCTACGCGTTCATGCCGAAATTGAGGTAGTCTTTAATGCTAGTGCCATATAGGGTATGCGCTAGTTGATGATACCCCTGTCCTGAGGAGCTACCAAGCTTCAGCCTGCTAATATCTTGCCAAAACGACTAGATTCCAGTTCCACATCTCCCCCAAAAAATACCCCAATGTGCACAAAGTTCGCGCGCTCTTTCAAATTTGTATGGCATGCGCTGCTTTATTGGAGGTTCCCTAATCTAGACTGCCCTTAGTGTTCCTTTTTTGGTATCAAAAGGAGTTTTCATTCATTAACAATAGTAGGATTACAACATTTCTAGGCAACAGTCTAGACTGCCCTTAGTGTTCCTTTTTTTTGGTATCAAAAGGAGTTTTCGTTCATTAATAATAGCAGGATTACAACATTTCTAGGCAACAATCTAGACTGATATTACTTATGTGATGTTCTTTTAACCCGTGCGCTTTGCATGGGGTATGTTGCATCTTTCGAAGGCTCATTAATCCGTGCCAGCATTAGTGTTTTGATCTTCTGATTACTGATGTTGAATTTTTGTAATGTACAGAGGCTATGTCGTTTAGTGAGGATGATGAGGTAAGACCTTTTATTTTGCTCCTGGAAGATTGATAGATACCTATATATCAGTATTCTATTCTTCATGGTGCTTGGGAGATCAGTGAAACAGTTATCTGCTTATGCAGTCAATTGACGTTAAGGTACAGAAAGCTCTGGATTGTCCGTGCGTGGCTGATTTGAAAACTGGACCATGTGGCAGTGGATTTGTTGATGCATTTTCCTGCTTCCTGAGGAGCACAGAAGTAGAGAAGGTTGTATTTTTATCTCAAGTTACCAAGTTGCTTCAATTATAGCTGTCTTCTGTAAGTTACAGTACTTAAAATTTCCCTGGATAATCATAATAAAGAGCCTCTTTGTTCTAAACTTAACTCAATAGCTCAGGGGTGTTTTTTAGGTAAATACCCAAGAAAGTTATTTTAGGTAAGCACTCAAGGAAGTTGGGTGTTGGGATTAGTGTTTGGCAGATATGTGGTTAATTGATACCTTTTCTAACGTAGTCTTTATAATGAGTAGTGTGGCCCTTTCCTTTTATTGTCAACATTTTTGTTCTTATTATTTCGCCCGATACTATTTTCAGACGAATTCTGTGGCTGCTTCAGTGTGCTAGTTTGTAGTATAAACTAAAAAGGCACCCAAGTAGTTTGTAGATCTGACGGAGCACAATAAAGATCTTTTGTTCTGTGTCGCATTTTCTTACAATCCAAATAGCAACAGATGTATGGCAGTCATTGTCTATTTGGTTACACTACGATGTTATTGGTAGCCAATTATAATTCAATCTGGTCAAAAGTACTTATTCGGTTTACTTGTTACTTTATAACAAAATAAACCTCAAGAATTTGCCCTCTTTCCTCGTCATAGTTAAAAGAGTTAAGAAATGGAGATGCTATAACTCTTTGTAATACTCCCTCTGTAAAGAAATATATGAGCTCTTATATTTGTTTACAGAGGGCTATTTCCTAATGTCTGAATCGCTGTTGCATACAAAACTCTTCCACTCGTATGCTGTTAAATGCTTGGCTGTCTGATTCATGTCTATTTTCTTCCTGGATATTGACTTACACTAAACCTGCTTCCTTTGCCTTGCCAGGGATCAGACTGTGTGCAGCCCTTCATCGCGCTGCAGAACTGCATCAAGGAGAATCCAGCGGCATTTTCTAAGGAGATTTTGGAAGAGGAGGAGAAGGACGAGGAGGCTGAGAAGTCCAACCTGCAAGTTAGAGCTCCAGCATGGTCTAGAGAATCCAAATCCAAACCAAAGCTTTGAGATCCTGTGGTATTAAGCTGACAGCCTGATACAGAGATTACCCTGATTCACACTCTTCACCTTGTTTCTCCTATAAATTCTTCCTTTATAGGCAAGATTAAGCATCCAGGATTCTTCGGCAGAAATAAGCACAGTTTGTGTGGTAGAAATACTTCCACTTTTTTTTTGGGAGAACATTACACGTTTTTATGAAACTGGAAAACTTGTATTCTAGAGACATCAGTTTCTGAACGGATTTGACGAGCTGGTTTGTTGTCAAAAGGAACTAGTAGATTCCATGATTGCTGTCAGCCCATTATACGAAATCGATGGACCTTGTTAATCCATGCGTTCTTAACTGTGCAGTGACAGTTATTTGACCTTGTTGTGAATGTTGCTATCTGTCTCTTAACTCTGAGTTTACTAATGATAATAGTGTCATTACACGACATGTCCACCAAAGTGGACATAGTCTTAATTATTCTCGAAAAAAAGAAGATGGTCTTAAGTTTTTGCAAGAGCTTTTGGGGAAGTGCTCAACGATTTTCCTTCTGGCGGGCAGGCAGAGCCTTTTCCTTTTTCTTTTGAGAGCTGGCGCCAGGGATAGAAGCCCAAAAAGCATGTTGTCTTGGTGGGCTTTCGGCCCATTTTACTGCTCTTCCTCTCTCCCAACCCGTCACAGGTTTTTTTGTTCAGCCACTGCCTACTCTGGCTTGGTCTCTCTCTTCTCCGCACCCCGGAGGAGTCCCACCCAACTCCACTCCGCCGCGATAAGCCCTAGCCTCCACCTCCGTCTCCATGGCGACCACCACCACCCTTTCCCACCCGCTCTCCGTGCCCATCGCCGGGGGCCGCGTCCGGCGCTGCCCCCTCACCCTGCTCGCCCCGGCCCGCGCGGCCCCCCGGCGGCCGACGCCCCTCCTCGTCGCCCGCGCCAAGCGCACCAACAACTCCAGCGCTGCCCCGAAGCGAGAGGCGGACGAGGAGGTTGAGGTGGAGGAGGAGCTGCCGTGGATCCAGGACAAGGCGCTGGACCTCGTGGAGTTCACCGGCACCGTCACGCAGGCCATCCCCGGCCCCCGCGTCGGCTCCAGCCCCGTGCCGTGGCTCCTCGCTGTGCCGCTCGCCTACGTCGGCGTCTCCTTCGCCCTCGCCGCCGTCCGCACCTTCCGCAGGTTCACCTCCCCGCGCACTCAGAAGAAGAAGAGGGTGAGCCTTCGAGTCTGAAAATCATGTGTAGATCGATGCTTAGTGGGGGACTGCGGAGTGATACGATTAGCAGTTTAGTTACACACTGGTGGTTCCTCTCTAAGATTGGACATGTTGCTTGTGCTTCGTCTTTTTGGTGGCGGTAGATAATAAAGTGATGGCATATTTCTCTTATATATATAATAGAGTTTTAGCCATGCCAAAATGTAGGCACATTGTGTGGAGCAGCGGTTCGTTTGTTCAATCCAAACTCCAATAGTAGTTCATTGGGTGCTAAAGGCGTTCAAGGACTCGAGAATATGGGAGATTGACTCTTTTTTTTTTCTCAGCGAGGGATTCTATGTTGCAATTTCATCTCTATTCATCAAGTATCATAGAACCATGAGTCATGACCATACTAAATAGTTCAGTTTGTTTCAGTTAGTTGTTACTTTCAAGTGAGAAAGAATCAGGAGAACTTTTTTTCATTTTGTACTAATGAAGTTTCTGTTGATCACAAGCTAAGCTTACCTTTTTATTGACCACTGACTAAGCTTATGTTTTGTTTGATCACAATTCACAAGCTAGGCTCATCTTTACTCTTTATTTTCTTTTTCTTGCTGATGTTCTTGATGGGACTATTAATTCTGTTGCTCTTAGAAGTCATAACCATTATCCAGATATATTTTTGGCATTTCATGGTGACTCCATTTCTTTGCAGGTGACCAAGAATATATTCTTGTTGAAGTCACTAGACGAGTTGTTTCAGAAGGGCAGGGAAGCAGTGGATTTTCCAGCTCTTCAAGAACTAATGCAAAAGGTGTGCCCTTGATTCAACCATTATTCCTGAGAATCTGAACTTATATTGGACTGCTGTTAGCACACACCTGCTTTATTTTCTCAACAAATGAATCTACTTTGACCAGTGTTTCTCAGATATCTTATTCTGGAAGGTTAAATTACACTGATGACTTGTGCTAAAAATATTTAGACTCAAGACTATCTCCTTGCAAAGATCTAAACCAGAAATTTTGTTGGTCAGAATAGATTTTGACATATGAAACTGTAATGCTTTTGCACCAATGCACCCATTTGGCCATTTCTACTGCTGTTTGAGGAATGGTTTTCTTATTATGTTGTTGGCCGCAAAGCTGTCTGGCTATAGTGAGGACTACATATACACTTTTAACTTTTTCCCCCATGTATTCAGACAGGATTTGACATGGATGATGTAGTAAGAAAGTACATCCGATACACACTGAATGAAAAACAATTCAATCCTGATGTGGTTGTGGATCTCATACATCTTAGGAAAGCATCGATGTTAGAAGATAATGAAGTTGCTGAAATTCTGAATGAGATATCTAGACGAATTGTTCGGGAAAAAGGTATTTTTCTTCTTCTGATTCTGGTACTCTTAGATAACACATAGTTTTTCCTAAACCTTCAAGACCCTGGCTGCTCAATTCTAAAACACGGAAGTGATTTTGTCTTCTTTTGACTTCCTATGAAATTTGTGGATCTCCCTGGTGGAATCCTCTGTAAAACTTGGTACTGATCATGTGTCCCATAATTTACTGGTTTTGTACTTTGATTCACTGCAAACTTTTAGAAGATTACTTTCCAACGATTACTGAGCATATAATATTGGCATTTGTCTGTTTCTTCCATTGCTGTCAAATCCGCTCGTCGCGTTAGCTTTATACACATTGTTCAGTTATTTTAGCTTCTGAGCCTGAAAATGATGTCTGCATTGTGTGAGTTGCTAAACATCTGCTTTTTTTTTAACTTGGGTCGTCAAACATCATTTAATATACATCTGTATGCTGCAGCAATATTCAGACATAAATAAGAGAGTTTTAGCAATACGTTGTCATTTTTTATGAGCATGAAAATCTTAAGATGATGTCAAAATCAAAGCACTGCATTTGAATGCTTCATTTGTTGAAGTTCAATTTGACACCTTCAACATGAGTTCTTGTACTTAAAATTATACGGTTTATTTTTAGGGTTGCTACGAACCTATGAGCGTATGATTTGCATATCAAATAGGAGAATCATTGTCTTTCTAGAAGATGATCAAGAGCTGTGGCCTGCGGGATAGTGTTCAAAATATTATAAATTGCTTGTTTTTGGTAGGAGTGATAATTTTGTTTGATTCACAACTAAGCTTGATGTGTAAGGTTATGCTTGCACACTGCTAGAGTGCTGAGGATATTTGTGTTTTATGATATTGCAGGTCCAATAGTTATGGACTTATCTGGGTTTACAGAGCAAGGTTTTAAGCGGAAGCTTGCTGTGCAAACATTGTTCGGAAAAATCATGTACTTATCAGAGGTAAGCTGCTGGCGTCTGTTTTTATTGACTCTTGCAGCTAAGAATTTTCTGGACTCCAAAATAGAGTTAAAATATTTTAGATGTCATGATGTTGTATTATAATGTATTCAGCTCCTTCCCTGTTCCTCCATTATAACTGGATATCTGTGAATTATCCAGCTCCCAGAGTTCTGTTCCCGGGACGGCTCGCTTGTTGTCAAAGAAATCTTTGGAGTTACAGAGTATGGCTAAATCTCTGTTGTGGATTATCATCACAAATTTTATGCTACAACTGATGCATCCAATACTATTGTCATAACTGTTGTTTCTTTCCCTGTTTTCATCTGAGCAGCGAGGATGCAGACAGCCTTCGCAGTCGTACCCTTTCTGAAGCTGGTGATATCGAGTCGTTAGAAAGGATGGTCGAAGATTCTGATGAACATGGTACCCCATCATCATCTTGAAGTATGTTAGTGGTTGGATACTTATCATCTTTGAGTTTTGTCAATGGTTGAAGAAGAGAGGGTTGTCCTGGATAGTTGACTGCAAGTTTTGTAAATCTACCTTCTACTAGGATTGTAGCTTCTGGCAGTATCTCGGACCTGTCTACCACCTGACTAAAACAAGGAAGTTGTTGAGAGAATGGTAGCAGTGAGTTTATATAAAGCGACAATTGTTAACTGTATTTGCGTTGTTTATTCTTTTATTGGTCTTTATCCATGAATTATAAGACTGAACCAAGTTTATATATATCCCTACATTGGGTGTGAGTTGCGCACTTGTGCAACCAGGATATGTTTGGCAATGGTGCTGTCAGATTGTCGATGCAATGATTCTAAGTACTCCCTCTGTTTGTGAATATAAGATGTTTTGGATATTTCAATATGGACTACATGCAGATTGAAATAAGTGAATAAGCACACTAAACTGCGTCTATATACATCTGAATCAGGAAAAAGTTGGAACATCTTAATAGACTGAGATGAAGCCATTCTGAACCCATTGTGCACAATATGTGGGTAGCAAAGCATCCAAATTTGAATGTAAAACAACATGAGCAATCAAGTCTGTAAAAGATAAAAGGAAAATTTCCATTTAATTTTGACACAGGCAAACTGGATGAAGGGGTGAATAAACAGAGTACTCCAACTTCTATGGTGACTTGTATAGCTGACAGGAGCGTCGTCTGAAAGATGGAAGGAATGGACCTCCTGGAGATCTATACAATTGTGTTTCAGGTCATGAAAAGAATCATAAAACAATGTGTATCCTATATGTAATCACATCTAGCAAGCCAGACCATATGAATTTACAGATTGTTCCAAAAGATCCTGAGTCCACCAGCAAAGGATTTCAGGCTGCCCCACAGATTTGCCCCCTTCGATGCTTCATGCGCATGCTTAGGGCTGCATTATGGAGCAAGAAAAGCTGTGAGGAACATAAGACGGTAGCAACCAAAATAACATCACATGCAACATCTTAGTGTTAAAATGTGTGAATCAACGATGGTGGAGAGGACTATGTAAGCTATCTTTATACATGTGCTACTGATAAACACATATTTCTTGATTTGTTTGATGCAGTTTAAGAATAATGCAGGGATTGTCTCAAATAGTCATCTTTAGGTGCTCATGCTGCTTAATTTGCAGAGCCAAAATTAGCTACCCCGTTACCATGCGATCATTTGTAAATCAATTGTTGATCTTGCGTGAGGGAATGCAAGCAGTACCTCTTGAGGTTTTGTGCCTTAACCACATTGTTGTTTTCAGTTTGACCTGATGCCATTGGCTCACTTTTATCCTCCAAACAAGTTGTTGGGGATAACTTTGGCTTGGCAGCTCCAGCTTTACCATGGCATTTTGGAAGTTGTGGCTTAGTATTTAGATCCAGAGGTTCCGAAGTTTTAGCCTGCAAAAGTAGATGATTATTATTATGAGCACAAACATAATTGGAGATATATGATTATTTAAGCATGCACAGTGACGATGTTTAATGATGAAAACTCAAAAAGAAAAGCATGAAGAGTGAAAGTACGTTATCTGTAATGAGGTACTACCATTTCTTCATTTACACCCTGAAAGTTGGTAGCAGCAACTCTTGGAGAGAGATCGATATTGTGGAGCCCGTATTTTTCCTTGAAGTTTTCTGAGCTGAAAGAGGCATTTCTTACATCATTCTTGAGTCTTGAATTATACTCCAATTCCTGGAGTAATGCCAGCACTGTATAGTAGGACCCTCCAACCTGCTGACGAACATATGTCGCATGTGGAAATTTTCCTTCGTGTGAAGCCCTGAAACTGTGTTGAATAATAGAGCCAGGCATAAGCAATGGATGTAAGATTTACAAGCACAAACGAGTCCTTAACACCTCATCAGGTGAAGCACAATTATATGTGACTATATCCAGCTGGTAACAACGAGAATCGGTATAAAACTGGTACTTCCAGAATTTAAATTTAGCGAGGGTTCTTTTGAAGCTAAAACTTGGTTTTCATCCGGGAACAATGACAAAATCTGATTGAGTAGCTTAACCGCATAAATCAGATCGCTCACTTCCCAAATTTCGAGAAGGCCCTGTTTGATAGTAAAGTATTTTCTAAGTAATCCAAAAATACTACAGTCATTCATATTATCATAGTTTTATTTGCAATGAGCTGTTTGGTTGCCATAAAAAACTGCAATTTTAATATTACAGTATTGCCAAAACCGTGGTATTTTCTCTGCATATAAAAAAGAACCCCGGACCTTTTTTTTCTTTAACAGAGCGAGCGGAAAAAACGACGTTTGTATCGTCTTCCTCGCTCCCAAGGTGTCGCCCCTGCATGTTGTTCAGATCTTCTCCATGGGCAGACATGGATAAACTAAGAGACGACGATGGAGAGAAAAAACGGTGTCCATCGTACTGCCGCTTGCGCTCCTCCCTCTCTGCTCCTATGCCCCATGCCCCCAAGCAGCTGGTTGCCCCGCTGGCCAACTCACGCGGTACTGGCTGCTCCGTGAACCCCCAACGCACTATTGTCCAAGCTCGAATTTGCCCTGCGCACTCCTAGTTGTGTGCTACTGCTGGTCAAAGCTGTGTCGTATGCGTGTTGTTTTGCCACTGGTTGTGCAGCCGCCGCCATGCCGCGACCTTGCTAGCTGCTGCTCATCCCACACGCACTGCTCGTGACCGCCGCCAACATGAATGGCACCACGACGTGCCCCCATGCACTCCACCCTAACGCGCTCGTTGGAACCCATGCGTGTCGTGAACGACTATAGCTAGCTAAGTTAGGTTGATGCATACAAGCACTAACCAAACATGTCGCAGTATTCTCAATACTTCAAAATACTTTGTTTTGTCAAAATTGTGGTATTTTGTGCCTATATGCTAAAATACTGTAGTTTTGCAATACTACAGTTTTTGCAATACTTTGCTACCAAACATAGCCTGAACTAGCGGTTTTGCTGGATTCCAATCCTAGCCATGTTTGTGAGGCATTCACTGCCTGCTTAAACATGCTGCTTGAACCTTTCGAACCGCTCACAGAGCCAAATAAGAAAATGACATTGTTTATCAAGCACTATATCTCGAGTGGTACGAATCTTACATCTGATAAACAGAGTTGATCAGCTGGCTGTAAGACATTACTGTGTAATATACTCCCTCTGTAAAGAAATATAAGAGCGTTTAGATCACTTAAGTAGTGATCTAAACGCTCTTATATTTCTTTACGGAGGGAGTATAATGTAATTCTATAGTACGCAAGGTAGTATTTCCACCTTCACCCAAGATTGAAACTAGATAAAAGGAAGCACGGACACAAAGTATAACAAGTGCCGATCACAATAATAACAAACAGAAATGTTGTCTGGCCAAGTTGGCTTACTTTTCAACAAATTCCTCTACCCTGGCCATTCTTTCTTCTCTTGTCATTCTCTTGTGGACTTCGGGTAGATCCTGAGAACACAAAGAAGGGTGTTCATATTCTCACTTTGTGTCTGACCTGACATGGTTTGGGCATTTGCATTCCTAAAGCATCCTGGTTTAGCTACTAATAGCGCAATTATGATAGTATACCAGTGGAAACATGTATCAAAGTTCAACCGGTACTTATGATTTTAGCATGCACAGAGATTAAACTAAAACTAACTGTTAAAACCTTGTAATCTCTTTCTGAGATCTGATCTTACAATACAACACTATAAGATAGGCCCTGCCAGAAATGTAAGAGATCAAACTGGCAATAACTAACAACATGAACAAAATGGACAGAGAGTTAGAGTAGGGTTTCTGCAATAAAATACCGTCTCTTCCTTTATGCCCTCGAAGCTGGTCCTGGCATCTCTGGTTGAGTTGAAAGAGGCATCACTGACATCACTCCTCAGCTTCGAATTGTACTCCAGTTCCTGGAGTAATGCCCACAATACGTAATAGGACCCTCCAACCTGCTTACGAACATATGTAGCAGACGGAAATTTTCCTTCATGTGATGCCCTGTAACTGTATTGAATAGCAGAGCCAGCCATAAATAATGGATGTAAGGTTTAAAGACGCAAACAAGCCCATTGGGTGCATTCACAGATATACAATGCTAGAACTGCATCAAGCACCTAGCTCCATTCCAGAAGCACATTTACATGTGGTACGGCAGACATTATACAGCCGGATGTTTTATTCTTGACCGGGAAACAGTAGGAAATTAGGCTACTGTGAATTTTACATAAATATAAGTGACAGTATTCACATGAGGGGGGTATGTACAGAATGGATAAGTACAGTGGAAACAAGCTAAAGGAATTGTTGTATCCAGACTTTGAAACTTTGCAGATGCTTTCTTTTCACCCTATGTGAAACTAGGACGAGATCCTCCCTAAATTTCCTGCACCAACTCTCCAGGATCTCGTCGTTTCTTTGTGTACAGAAACCGGAAGTCTCAAAATTTAAAATTTGACGAGGATTGTTTTGAAGCTAGCACTTGGTTTTCATCTAGTAACAGTTGCAAAGTATGGTTGATTAGCTCGTTTGTGGAAGGCAATGACTAAAACAAGATTGTAGTAATTCGCTATATACAAAGGCAGCACAAGAAAACTGCAATACATGCTGATGACAATAATAGAGTTAGAAATGCTGGCCAGACCGAGTTTGACTTACTTCTCAACAAATTCCTCTACCCTGTCCCTTCTTTCTTCTTTTGTTAATCTCTTCTGGACCTTGGGTGGATCCTGAGCAGAGGGAGAACCCAGATGCTTCTTCCCACAGAGAGGCCGATAGGACGACCGTGCAACGGCGTCAGAAACGTCAGCAATGGCTGAAAAATGGGGGTAAAATGACAGAATTAAAACCCACAAGACAGGCAAACTAATTACATGGCAACAGGGGCAGCATTTGTGCACCTTTAAGACAAATCATACAATTACAAGCATTTATCCTAAAAAGTAGTAGTAATGGTGTTCTGGCACAGGGAAGGAGGTTAAAATCCTCCATGATTAAACCAAAATTAAACGGGGGAAACTTGGAGGAAAGATTACCAACCCTTCCTGGATGAGGCGGAGGAATAGAAGAAGCGCGCGGACGCGTGCATCGGAGAGGCCGATTAGGGTTTCATCGGTGTTCTGCGGGGAGCGAGGCAGAGCAGAGGAGGAGCTGAGGCAGGGGAGGTAGACGAGGAAAGCGGGCTCGTTTGCTTGCAAGGCTGTCAGTTTGGCGGTGGCTAGCTAATGTGGACGGGCCCCGATGTCGGCAGGGACTGGCACAGTTAGCAAAAGGGCATGTTGGTTTTCTTTTCTGTTTTAACACTAGTTTTTCTTAAGAAACCAATGAACATCTTACATCTGTTAGTTACTCCATCCGTTCCTAAATATTTATCTTTTTAAAGATTTCAAATGGACTACCACATATGGATGTATATAGACATAGTTTAAAGTGTAGATTTACTCATTTTGCTCCGTACGTAGTTACTTGTTGAAATCTCTAGAAAGACAAATATTTAGAAACGGAGGAAGTATTATTATTTAGAAGAACAGACAAATTAACAAAAAATCGTCCGGTACAAAATGGTAAATGAGCCCAATCGGCCAACTGGTCCGCGTTCTCGTTGGTCCACTCGCGCGTGTGTGCCATGTACCCGTGGGGCGTGCATGTGCCACATCCCCTCATGTTTCTTTCTTCCTATACCAGGTCAAAACAGTTTCACTCATCTTTCTCCCGCTTCTCTTCTCCCCCACCAAATCGAGGATTTGCAAGCCGGCCGCCGATGTTGTTCAATCCGCCACTGCCACCTCATCATCGTTGACGACATGGTCACGCCCACTGCCTCTCACTCATCCTTCGTCCTGTTTGCGGGAGCTGCTGGCTGCTCATCGATGTTGTAAACCAGAGGCACGTGAAGCCGCCTCGAGTCGGAGGGGGCTATGAGTGGCCGCTGCTGTGAGGCCAGTGCTGCTAGACGGTGCAAGGTAGGCAACCACTTCGTTGCACAGTGTTGCGATGCCAGTAGCTCGGCGTTGTAGGGCGGCCCCACTCCTCGCGCCGGTGCTGCAAAGGTTGGGCACATGAGCTACAAAGGCAGGCGTTGGTGCTACGAAGGTCGACTGCCGGTAGGACACGTGTTGTTGTGATCCCCAAGGTGTTTTATGCGAGTCCATAGTCGGTGTTGCAAGGGCGTGGTACTGATGCTAGAGGTGATGACCGCCGGTGCTAGGGATGTGACACGCAATACCGTGATGCTGCGACCGGCAGGGCGCTCTGCTGGGATCAACGAACTACGATGCTGCTAGACAGTAGGCGACGAGAGGCGCACTACCACAGTGGTGCTGCCGATGGGGAGCTCAGTTGGAACCGGCGACCCGCGGTGCTACCAATCAGTCAACAACGAGATACACACAATCATGATGCTGGGACTGGCGTGCCTCTCAGCTGTGACGGTGCGGCGCTCCGTTAGGATCGATGACCCGTGTTACAATGACAAAGAAGAGACATATGTCGCTGCAATTGATGGTGCACTCTGCTGCAGAGGCCAGCTATGGGGCATGGTGGTGCTACGAGCGTCCATGCATGCTGTTGGGAGAGGCATGACGTAGACTATTATAGTTGGCGCGAGAAACCATGCGTGTAACTATGACAGAGCAGGGAGGATATGTGTTGTGGTTTTTGCAATGGGAGGAAGGCGTTTGTTTATGCAACGTGAAAGAGGGCGATTGGCCACAAATGAAGCGATCATACGGCAGGGAAGGTGACCAATCGGGGCTTTCGACCGGTTGCGCGACACCTAGCATTGCCCTAAAAATGGATATAAATTCTAGGAAAGTTGTCATTGTTTGGGTAAGATTGTCAATATTTACTTGCCACAACATTAGCTACAAGATCTCTTTGGGAGGGCTACAAATCTCCTTGATGAGATGGTGAAAAATTATGCCCATTGGCACTCTAAAAGAACTCCAAATAATGAAGGTAAACTTTATTGAGGATATTGCATGCTTGAATGATAAGGTTGATATGATTATGTCTATGCTTGCTACTAAGCATGTTCCTACTGATCCTAAGGGTATTTCTATTGCACAACTTGTTGAACAAAATAAGGAACAAATATAAGTCAACTTTATTGGAAGAAACAATTCTAATATCAACGCTCACATGAATATTTTTGGTAAAAATTATGCTAAGCCTTATCCTCAAAATGCTCGAAACTCATATGAAAACTCTTACGATCATAATAATATACCCACTGGTCTAGAAAATATGATGAAATATTTGATTACTACTAAAAAGTAAGTTAATATTACGACCAGTGGAAAGCTTGATATATATTATACAAGTAGCAAACACACCATGATTAGAGCTAGAGGAGAAACATAAAGGTTACAGAGAGAAGCTACAAATGCTGAACTGTTTGCTGAAAAAGGGATTGAAGAGGTCAAAACTATAAGTTTTGTTGGACCTCTATTGCGGATAACCCTATGATAATTCATATTACTTTCCATGATTATAAAGGCGGGATTGGAGAGGTCATGACTTTATATAGCAATGATCCCACTATTTTAGAGAGTGTTAAATCTGATTGTAGTATTGCTAAAAGCGGGTTTGGAGAGAGATCAAAACTTTAGGTAGTATTTATCCCACTGTTTTAGATGGTAATTTTTTATTATGATGATTGCACTCTTACTGAAGTGATAAAGGTTTTGCACGAGTTTGTTATAAATCCTAATGCTAGTGAATACAATAGAGAATTGTAGGAGCTCTCTTAAAAGCTAGAGAAGAAAAATATGAAGAAGAAGTTTCTATTCCAAGAAAATTATAAGATGGTTGGGAACCTAATATCAAGATCATAATTAATAACTTTGTAGGTAATGCATTATGTGATCTTGGTGCTAGTGTCTCTACCATGCCAAAAGCATTATATGATGTACTTGGATTAAGATCTATGTTTGATTGTTCTTTAAGTTTACATTTGGTTGATTCAACCATTAAAAGGCCATTGGGAAGAACAAATGGTGTCCCTATAAATGCAAATAGAAAATTTATGTTACCAGTGATTTTATAGTAATAGATATTGAATGCAATCCTTCATGTCCTATCACATTAGGAAGACCATTTTAAAGAACCATTGCGATGTCATTGACATAAAGGAAGAGGACATATAATATTTCATTTTCCAATGAGGAAAGGACATGACATTTCCAAGGAAGAAAATATATTACCATATGAAACCATTATGAGAGAAAATTATTCCCTGGAAAATAATAATGAGAAAACTTCAAACTATCCGCAGAACACCATGCCTAGCTAAAAGACATTAAAGAAAAGCGCTTATGGGAGCATATTTATCTTTTTATTTCCTTTGAGTCAATAAAGTTGTTGTGTTCTATCGCGATAAAATTTTATATCCTTCTGTAGTACCCCCTCTATAAAGAAATATAAGAGCGTTTAGATCACTAAAGTATGTTGGGGAACGCAATATTTCAAAAAAATTCCTATGATCACGCAAGATCTATCTAGGAGATGCATAGCAACGAGAGGGGAGAGTGTGTCTACGTACCATCGTAGACCGAAAGCGGAAGCATTTAGTAATGTGGTTGATGTAGTCGAACGTCTTCACGATCCAACCGATCAAGTACCGAACGCACGTCACCTCCGCGATCTGCACACGTTTAGCTCGGTGACGTCCCTCATACTCTTGATCCAGCTGAGGCCGAGGGTGGGTTCCGTCAGCACGACGGTGTGTTGACGGTGATGATGAAGTTCTGACGCAGGGCTTCGCCTAAGCACTACGACAATATGACCGAGGTGTAAAACTGTGGAGGGGGGCACCGCACACGGCTAAAGATCAACTTGTGTGTCTATGGGGTGCCCCCTCCCATGTATATAAAGGGGGGAGGGAGGAGGAGGCCGGCCAGGGTTGGCGCACCCAAGGGGGGAGGAATCCTACTCCAAGTAGGATTCAGCCCCCCCTTTCCTACTTCCACAAGGAGAAGGGGGGAAGGAGTAGGAGAAGAGAAGGAAAGGGGGGCCGACGCCCATAGCCCTAGTCCAGTTCAGTTTGGGCTAGGGGAGGGGCGCCACCTCTTGGCTGTTGGGGAACGTAGAAATAATTTAAAATTTTCCTATGTGTCACCAAGATCAATCTAGGAGATGCTAGCAACAAGAGAGAAGGAGTGCATCTTCATACCCTTGAAGATCTCTAAGCGGAAGCATTGCAAGAACGTGGTTGATGGAGTCGTACTCGCGGCGATTCAAATCGCGGAAGATCCGATCTAGCGCCGAACGGACGGCGCCTCCGCGTTCAACACACGTACAGCCCGGGGACGTCTCCTCCTTCTTGATCAAGCAAGGGGAGAGGAGAAGTTGAGAGAGAACTCCGGCAGCATGACGGCGTGGTCGTGGAGCTCATGGTATTCCTGCAGGGCTTCGCCAAGCTCTACGGAGGAGAAGGAAGAGTTGGAGGAGGGAGGGGCTGCGCCAGGGAAGGGGTGCGGCTGCCCTCTCTCTTCCTCACTATATATAGGGGGAAGGAGGGTGGAGGAGGCGCCCTAGGGTTCCCTAGGGGAGGGGCGGCGGCCACAGGGAAAACCCTAGATGGGTTTGGGCGCCCCCACCCCTAGGAAACTTGCCCCCCAAGCCGGGAGGGGTGGCTGCCCTAGGGGAGGCGCCCCCACCTCTCCAAGTTACGTGAGATGGGGTGGGAGGGGTGCACAGCCCCTTAGTGGGCTGGTGTGCCCCTTCCCCTTGGCCCATAAGGCCCCCCAACGCTTGTCGGGGCCTCCGAAACCACTTTCGGACACGCTGGTTGTCACCCGGTACCCCCGGAACAATTCCGGACTCCAATACCCTTCGTCCAATATATCGATCTTCACCTCCGGACCATTCTGGAACTCCTCGTCACATCCGGGATCTCATCCGGGACTCCGAACAACCTTCGGTAACCACATACTATTTCCCATAACAACTCTAGCGTCACCGAACCTTAAGTGTGTAGACCCTACGGGTTCGGGAACCATGCAGACATGACCGAGACATCTCTCCGGCCAATAACCAATAGCGGGATCTGGATACCCATATTGGCTCCCACATGTTCCACGATGATCTCATCGGATGAACCACGATGTCGGGGATTCAATCAATCCCGTATACAATTCCCTTTGTCTATCGGTATGTTACTTGCCCGAGATTCGATCGTCGGTATCCCAATACCTCGTTCAATCTCATTACCGGCAAGTCTCTTTACTCGTTCCGTAATGCATGATCCCGTGGCTAACTCATTAGTCACATTGAGCTCATTATGATGATGCATTACCGAGTGGCCCAAGAGATACCTCTCCGTCACACGGAGTGACAAATCCCAGTCTCGATTCATGCCAACCCAACAGACACTTTCGGAGATACCTGTAGTGCACCTTTATAGCCACCCAGTTACGTTGTGACGTTTGGTACACCCAAAGCATTCCTACGGTATCCGGGAGTTGCACAATCTCATGGTCTAAGGAAATGATACTTGACATTAGAAAAGCTTTAGCAAACGAACTACACGATCTTGTGCTACGCTTAGGATTGGGTCTTGTCCATCACATCATTCTCCTAATGATGTGATCCCGTTATCAGTGACATCCAATGTCCATGGTCAGGAAACCATGACCATCTATTGATCAACGAGCTAGTCAACTAGAGGCTTACTAGGGACATGTTGTGGTCTATGTATTCACACATGTATTACGGTTTCCAATTAATACAATTATAGCATGAACAACAGACAATTATCATGGACAAGTAAATACAATAATAACCATTTTATTATTGCCTCTAGGGCATATTTCCAACATTGGCCTGCCTCCTCTCTTCCACCACTAGACCCATGAGGCCCAATAACTTCCCGGAGGGGGTTCTGGTAACCCCCGGTACTCCGAAACTCATCCGAAATGACCCGAACCATTCCGGTGTCCGAATGTAACCTTCCAATATATGAATCTTTATGTCTCAACCATTTTGAGACTCCTCGTCATGTCTGTGATCACATCCGGGACTCTGAACAAACTTCGGTACATTAAATCGCATAACTCATAATACAAATCGTCATCGAACATTAAGCGTGCGGACCCTACAGGTTCGAGAACTATGTAGACATGACCGAGACACATATCCAGTCAATAACCAA